TGCACGGGCCTTAAACCAATTTTCGGTTCAGTTTCATAAAAACTGCTATAATGCACTATACAGGTACTATCATTTCATGTAAAAACTCGTTACTGCGAAATTTTTGAAATTAAGACAACTTAAAAAATATATAATTTTCATACCAAGAACCATAAGATTTTTTGGAGAAAATTCTTCTCGTTCCTCTTCGCGAGTAGGGAACGCGCAAGAGTCTTTAAATCCCATCAAAACAGAGTGTTCTAACATGTGACCACTGTCATAACGATCCTGAAAAGATAATAAGTATAAGTAATAACGAAACACTTCTTACCCCACCCCGCTCCGTCCTCCCTTAAAGGACAGAAGGGACCGCATATATAACGTGCAGTATGCTAAGGAAAGAAATCTTTTACCCCCAATTCCCTAATATCTTAAGAAACACAGATCTCAAAGTAAAAAAGTTACTAAAATCTTACTTTCACTATTTCATAAGCATCCATTATGATAGCAATAAATAAAGATAGAACAACATAAATAAACAGCGAAACAAAGACGTATACGTAAATAGTTCCCACAATTTTGATTAACGCATTAGTGTCACTTATAGTATAAAAGGTAGCAAACATGTCGTCGCCATTAAGAAGAGAAAACAGCGCCTCAGAAGCTTGTCCCAAAGTGCGGAACTAAAAAATTTCCTTTTATTTGATTTCAAGGAAGAAAATATTTACTTTATAGGGTTGGTAGCTGAAAATGAAAACTTACTTTCAAACTGTAAGGACCGATAATAACCCATCCAGCCACCAGAAAACCTGCATAAAGTACAGCAGCACACGACATAAACCGAAGTATGTTTGGTAAGGCTTTCTTCATAGTCAAAATAAGTACCTAAATAAGTGTTACAGTAAATGTCAAGGAACCAAAGGTTCACTTCTGAAAACGATTAACTTTATTAAACAAGCACTTCTGTGGTTTAAAGAAACTACATTGTATTTGGAGAAAAAACCAAAATATCGAAGCACTCCGACATAAACCAGTAAAGCACCAATACCAAGAAGTATACCGGTAGTGTTAAATAAACTGTTATCGAAGTCCTAAAAAGATAAGTGTAAATTCATTCTCAACTAAACTAGAATATCTGTTTTATGTGCTTACTCTCAGGTAATCTAAAAACATACCCTGAACTCAATAGTTATTTTGCACAGAGTCGCACTGACCATGCAGACATCACTGATTACGATCATGACATACCACAAATTCAAGAACTCTAACTGATCGCTGATAGAAAGAGGGCATTTGAGCACTTGCTCAAAATACTCAATGCTCATCTGAAAAATTTTTTATTGAAGAAAATATGAAAAAATTTATTGCTAACAACGATGTTCTATTGCTGTAAAGCTTGTCAAGACATAATTATACCTTTTTTAAAAGATGAGCACGGATGAGGGCACGACAACAAAGAATAAATGAAGCTATGCAGACCAAAAGAACCACTACGTCTAGCAGTCCCATTATCATGACTTCATATGGAAATCCACCACCTAAAAAAGTTAGGATTATATAAAGCTTAATTTGAAAAATGATTCTCCAACCTTTGAGAATTCTGCCATTACAGAGGTTCACGTAGCCAATTTCAGTTGATAACGACACATAGACCTGTCCTGTATGATGAGAGTTGTCAAAAAGTATTGATACCTAGAACGAGCCATATTTCTCCTGGTCAACATCAGAAGAAAAAAATCAGTAAAATATACAATGATAAGGTATAACTACAAGACATTTGCAAGAGACAAAATAAACAAATTAAAAGAATACAGCAATAAGATAACACTCTGGACGTTGGTCGGTAGCGATAGGACTGAAATGAATTGTTCGTAAGTTAAAATATATGACTCCTTCGGAAATTATCAAAGCGTCCTCAGTTTTGAAGCTAATCCCACGTTTAGCCAAAATTGGCACTGCACTCGTTGAGTTCTCACAGACCTTCCTTACATCATCCTCCGTAAAATTCAGTGAGTAACAATCTGAAATCTTTTTGCTTGAAAGCAGTGAAGACCTTTAAACTTACAAGTAAATATAATTCCTGGCACAGAGAACTTTTCAGTAATATCAAACGTACCGTGAACGGGAGTGATATCAAAGTCGTAAGTGTTATTAAAAACAGATACGTTAGCAATCCGTTCCAGACAAAACCGAAGATACGGGATTTTTCCAAATGGTAGTTTGTTTGGATCATTTACTTCCATTCCATCGGGGTCTTTTTCAGCTTGTCGCGAAACACGTTGTACATAGGCAGTATCGTATGAAAAACTAGCAAATGAATCTTCTTGAAGATGATAATACTGCAATATGAACATTATTTACCGAAAGTTTTGTTGTCATATGCAAAATGAAGCAGATGCGCTATCTAGCAAAAAGAAACAAAAAACAAAAGATTAGACAAAACGGAATCCCCGTTGCAGTTGGACTAATCTATTTCGATGTCATACATATATTACTTTCAACTGTTTCTCTCAGATGCTTATAAGTTACATACCCTATTTTGATAGAATATAATAATTTCATTATACTTTTACTTAGTGATTGTGTTCATTGTGTAGGGGCATAGCCGTTATAAAAGAAAAACAAATAACAGAGTACTTACTGCACAAACAATGTAAGAAAACTCCTCAATTAAATCATCTACATTATATACAGCATATCGTTCAGAAGTTGATGAACAATCAAGGGTATTACGATCACCAGACCACTTTCTCAGAAACTTATGCCTCATTACCGTGTCAGTCTCGTCAACAAAGTCTACGTGAGACATCCGAAGTTCAGCAAACAGAATTAGCTTTAAATAAATAATGACAGATAACACCAAAAAGAAGAGTCATTTTGACTGACAATATCAAAGGCAACAGTGACAAGAAAAAGAGAAAGTCTTAAAGGTAAAAAGACCAATCCGTAACACCAACCTGGGCAGTTATTAAAATAATTTTTAGCACCTGCAAAAGTAGCTTATAAGGTATCTGTCGGCGCACTCTCCACTTCCATAAGGTGTCCATGAAAAAGAACTGTAAATGTCGCCTCAACCTTTCTCCTGTTTCTCGATCTGCTGGAGGAAGTGCGTCAAGCACTTCTTGAAAATTAATTTTATTACAGCCTGAGCTGGACATGGCTCTAAAATGAGAGATTTTACTTGGAATGAAAGAAATTTCTTTTCAACGAAGTGAATTGTAGATTAGTAAAAAATGACCGTGCATTAGCGTGTAGCATCCAAAACTAAAATTTTAGGAGCAAACAACACTGCGAAAAAATCACCGCAGCAAAAAAAACAGGAAAAACTGTGAAAATATGGAAGCGATACAGCAAATTTATCGATGTATATATGTATATTTTTATTTATTCATTTATATTTGTATATCTTTGGAGTGTTAATAAACAATATTCAAATGAGCCAAAGTTCATACTCGGCGTGTTCCGTATCTGATATTTCGGCTGCACTTGTCGACGATAAAACGTCCAGTGTATGATTTTTTTTCTTCTGTGGCCGCCCAGCCATCTAAAGTGATAGGTATCCATATTCAGGACATAATAGAGCAGGAAAAGATCGATGAAGACAACCTACTACCTTTTTTTCGGTCTCAATCTTTTAATGACAGCAACGAAACAGAAATATGTATGGTACGCACTTTAGCACAAATTCTTTCGTTTAATGACACAGTAAATTATTGAAAAAAAAAATTGGTGCTGAGAGGACGATACCAGCATTTAAATAAAAAAGTAAATATAGCTTTAGTTCTTCCGGTAAATTTAGTTTGCTTCACCGCCATCGTTGTATCAATTGAATGTTGGCTAGCAAACGAAGAGTGTTGTTCATAGTTCGAATATTTTAAAAGTTAATACATAAATTTTTTTTTCATCTTTGCAGTGCCAAACAGTAGCTTATATATATGAGAGGAACTAGATGATTAAAACAAATTTTAAAAAAAATTTATACAGACGTATAGACAACAGTTGAAAGGGCTTTTTTAATGTTATAATAAAAGTATAAGACCTAACTAATTCAAAAATTTTTGTTTGTTAATTTATTGAAGACCGAAGTTTTAAAGTATTATAATGATTACCTCGATAAGTGTAACACTCCTCATTTATAAATTACATGAACTTAGGATATGAATCAATGTTGAAAATGGCAAGTGCCGTTGTTCACTGAGCAACAATTTGTCCCAGTTTTGTGGTTTAATTAATGAACCGAAAAACAGCAAAACCACGGCAAGGAAAAGTTATTGTTGTATTAGTCGTTTAGACTAATCCACGTTTAGTATACCCAGTAATCAACTATACAACTTAAAATAAAAATAGGAACACAGACGCGTATGTGGACACCGAATAACAGATACACAGACACACATAAACGCATACACACAAACAAAAAGATAATTAGATGTAGAACTTCTGTTGTCGCTGTTAACGACTGAAACATTAGTGTTAGTTTATTCGAAAATAAATCTGCTAAGATGGAAAGAAATTGCCTTTGAAAGTCTTTGACAGAAAAAAAAAAAAAAAAACACTGGCTCCCGAAACCAAATCAACTATACAAAAAGAATCAATAGATTTTTTTACAGGTGAAAATACATGATTAATCTGGGAACTGCTATCATAATGTAATTTCAAATAAGTATTAATGGTACTTCATTCATTGCAAGGTCTTGAAAATTTCGCGTTGTTCAGTGACAAAGTTTCGCTCAAAAAAAAAAAAAAAACAATAAAATTAGTTGTATTCAAAATTTATAACTTCAATAAAATTTTCAACAAAGAAGTTGCTATTGCAAGTACCAAAAAGTGGTTCCTGTTAGATAGCATCAATCGTCGCAAAAAGGAAGAACATTCAACTATGTAGTCTCTGTTGCAGCTTTAGCTAAATGTTACTTAAAATTCAAATCCTTACTTTGGTCAGTTATTTAGCAATTTTCTAAAAGCACCTAGTCGAAAAAGAGAAGACATGCCAAAATTTGTTTCTCTACTTTTATTTTTTCATTAATCTTCACCTGCTTAGACAGTTAAGCGACTCTGTCAAATTGAAACAGCAGCCAGTAATACGGTAAGATTACAAAAGCAGAAAAAAAAAAACAAATTCAAGGTGCAACTTTTCACAAGTATATACTACGTGCAAAAAAGTTATGCTAAAAAAAGATCAGATTCCATACAAAAACTGTTACCAATTGTTCCATTTTAAAAATGCGAGCACACGACAAGATGAGCAAATAGATGGGAAAGATGAATTCGGTGAAACATTGTTGGAACAACAAAAATGCATCATCTAAACATCACATTGCAGCCATAAATGTACGTGAACCAATAAGTTTAGAAAACGGTGTAAAGATTTACGGTATAAACATTTTGAACAAATTCTAAAAACGTCCGTAGAAGAGTATCAGTTCAAAATTTAACTTTACTGATTAATCTGTTGATGACAGTGCTGACTGTTGCAGTGGCTGCGGTAAAAGAAATAGAGAAACACGAACCTTACTGATTTCAACCAAAGAAAAAACAGTATCAAGTTTATCTTAACTAGTTTGGTCAAATTTTCTTGTCAGCGATAATAGGAGGTTGTTGCGATGAAAATGAATCATTCACTAGTAACCGGAAGAATGAAATTTACGAAACATATGTCAAACTACTTACTGTTGTAAATGATGTGGAAATGGTGTTTTAGTGAAGAATACAATCAACCGAGTAAAGGCACTCCTTTCAAATGTGTAGCTTTTTTTTTTTCTATTTACATTACGGTTTGCCTACACCTTTTTTTTCTCAAACATAATTTTTACATCTCCAAATTTTAGAAAAAAATTTGATGAAGATATGTCGAATTCTGTAATGACCAACGTATATATATATATATATATATATATATATATATATATATAGTTTTTTTGAGAGAGAGTTCTGTTCGATATCCAAAAATGACAGAGTATGTAAAGTGAAGTAGAACAACAGTTAGAGAAATTCTATAATTAGAACAGAGGTAAGACTGCAACGTGAGAAAGAAACGCGGCTAGAAGTGCAAAAAAATCTTGCGATTGAAACAGAAATCGCATCGCAGCGCGTCGTCTCGCGCCTCTTTGGTTCGTTTTGGCAATCTCGCGAAAAAGTTCAACCGGTCACCTATTACACACAACTTAAAACTTGAATTCAGTTTTTTTTTGGTTCATTAGAAGTATCAATCTAAAATTCTTTAAAGAAATTTTGTTCTGCGTTTTAATAGAATTATGCCTTTTACATCTGCCCTATCATTAGAGCCAAAAATTCAAAGTCCTCTGTTCAAAATAGAAAGAGAAACCAGACGAGCAGCAAATTACCACCAAAAATTTCTTTATATAAGCATTTGTAATAACTTTTATTGCTCTAACTAGTCGTAAATGATGTTTACATTAAAATTGTTGTATTATAGGTCGTTCTCTCATGTTGCAAAAACCTCCTACCCACATTACAGGGGAACGAAATTTTTGCAGCATGAAAGAATGGTTTATATTGCAACAGTTTTAATGCAAGCATTATTTAAGACTATTTACAGTAGTGAAATTTATTACAACTTTGTCTGTGGTAATCAAAAAAAATCTCATACGAACTTATGCAGGTCAATTACCAAAATTTTGACGTGGTATGAATGCTGTCAGTAAAGGGAAAAGCGTTTTCTGAAATACTGTTTTAGGAGCAGTTTCTGCAAATTCCGTTTAGTCAAGGAGTCTATAATAACAATCTTATAACTGCACTTTAAGCTCTATGTTAAATCATTAGCACAGTTTTTGTGCTGGTATTTTCCTCTTACTGTAAAAATTGAAATAAAAGGAAAAGCGCTGAAGAAGCTAGATGGACAACTTTTTTGCGAGATTACCGAACTTTCTGTTTGGAGACGAATCCTCAGCGGAGTAGCTGCGGATGTCTTTTTCTCTAAAAGCAACCACACTCAATTGTTTATAGTAAGACTCTGACTG